TTTAAAATTGGCCTTAACTGTTCTCATGTGAAAATGGTACCACAACTAGGTACCTGTAATGAAGTGGTGGCTCAACCAGGGGCAGCAGTGTCTGGAGACATTTTTTGATTGTTAGAACTGGGGGAATGCTACTGGCATCTAGGATGAAGGCCAGGGATACTGTTAAACATCCCATAATGCACAAGCCAGCTCCCACAACAAAGAATTATCCAGCCCAAAATGTCAATAACGCAGAGGCTAAGAAACTGCTTTAATGGACCGCACATCTTTAACATACCTCTTGATTACTTGGAATTTCCAGCCTAAATGAAATCTCAATTTATTATTATTATTATTATTTTATTAATTAAGAGCTTGACACATGGTATAAAAATTCTTCCTTTCCTTCCAAAATGTCCAAATTTCACCAATAATATCCCCATGTCTAATAATATCCCCAGCTTGCAAAAATCTTAGAAACATTTTAATAAACTTTCTGCCTAGTGTTTATTATATAAAACTGTTGTTACTAGGTACTGCAAAGTCAGTTCCAACTCACTGTGACCATAAGTACAACAGAACAAAACAATGCCCAGTCCTGCACAATCCTCACAATCGTTGCCATGCTTGAGCCCATCATCACAACCAGTGTGTCAATCCCTCTCACTGAGGGTCTCCCCCTTTTCTTCACTAAACCTCTACACCAACTATGATATGCTTCTCCAGGGACTGGAGACTTAACTGCATATAATATATACAATTATTATATGCAATTAATGGCTGGATACATGGTATAAGAATTCTCCCTTTCTTTCCAAAACATCTAAATTTCACAACTATTTCCTGTTTTCCTAGCTTGCAAAAATCTTAAACCATTTTAATAAGCTTTCTGCCTAGTTCTAGAACTGGTTTTAAAAAGTTTGCATTATTTTAAGAGTACTTCATCCATGGAATATTCAGGAATCTAGTAAAAATATGACAATATTTATATGCTCCCCCCTCATCCTCTATTTTAGGGTACTATCCTGCATGCTTTGTCTTTATTGAATTTTCCGTAAGCTTCTACTTAATAATTTTCAGACCTAAATTACCTCAGAGTGTCTCTCCTACTTACTATTATTAATAGTTCTAAGAACTACTAAGCAGCTTTCTTTTAGTCAGATCCTACTGTTAAGTATTCAAATATAGACAAAAAAAACTATATATAAATCACAATTATAAAGGTTAGTTTACTTAGCTATTACTATAAATGAAAACTCAGGAAAGTAATCAAGAAAAATTAAATTTATATACACATATTTATACACACACATGTATGTATGTATGTGTAAACACATGTGTATAGATGTATAGATATACATCTATACACATGTATACATGCATGTGTGCATGTATGTGTGTATATGCACATACACATGTATCTACACAAAACCATATATATGTATATACATGCATACATATACATATATACACATGTATATACTGAATTGAAAAAGCCTCTGGTGGCATAGTGCCTGAGGCATCAGACTGCTAACCAAAAGCCTGGTGGTTCAAACCCACCAGCCACTCCTCGAAAGGAAGATTGGGAAATCTACTTCCATAGTGATAACACCTCAAAAAGCCAAGGAGGGGTTGCTATGAGTCAGATCCGACTCGATGGCAGGCTGTTTGATTTGGTTTTATATCCTTTATAATGACTGGATTAATTTTTTCAGCTTATTAAGTAACAACAAATATTTTTAAATTTTATAGAAGTGAAAAATGCAAACCCACCTTCTCCCAGGTACATACGTAAAATCTGTAATGACTAAGAACCAGTAAACACATTAACACTATACCATTTTACAATATGTTATTTTCATCTGTCTAGATTTCTATTAAATATATTTAAAAGTTCTTAGGATTTGTCTGTTACCATGTATTTTTCAAGTCTCAGGTCACCACTTTAAAAAAATACATAAAAAGTTGCTATCAAGAGAATGTTGTTGTTATGTGTGTGAAGTCAGGAATAGAACATTAAATTTTAGATATTTACCTGTAGTTTATAGCTTTACTAAGCAACTTTCTAACCACTTAAGTGTATCATCTTGGAAAAAAAAAAAGCTACAGAGGTTGAGTTTTGACAGTATATTCTGCTTCTCCTCAGAAGACAGCATTTAGAACAAAACTCGTACAAGCATTATATAAATGCATTGAATAAAATGAAACAAGCTTTTATATAATTATATATAAGATCAGAGTTAATTTCTAGTTACTTACTAGCCTTTTAAGAGTCTTAATTTCTGCTAACTAGGGATCTCTGGTAGCATAGTAGCTAAGACACTTGACTGCTAACCAGAAGGCTGACAGCCACTCCTCGGAAGGAAGATGGGGCACTCTACTTCCGTAGTGATACTGCCTCGGAAACCCAAGGAGGGGTCGCTATTAGTCGGGTCCGACTTGACGGCACATAGCAACAACAACAGAGCTATTATCCACCATTCGTCTGTCAGTTTGTCATATTGTGGTTATTTGCATGCTGCTGTGAGGCTGGAGGCTGACACCAGCATTTTAAATACCAGCAGGATCACCCATAGTGGACAGGTAGCAAAGCTTCCAGACTAAAACAGACTCAGAAGGACAGGGTAATCTACTTCTGAAAAAATTGGCCACTGAAAACTTTATGAACAGCAGTGAAACACTATCTTTATGAACAGCAGTGAAACACTATCTGATATATTCCTGGAAAACTTTATGAAGAGCTGTGAAACACTGATACAGTGCCAGAAGATGAGCCCTTCAGGTTGGAAGGCACTCAAACTATGGAGATAAAAATGCATCCTCAAATTAGTCAACCTTAATGACATGGATACAGTAAAATTTTGGGGACCTTCATTGCTAATGGGACACAACCAAAACTGGGAAGAAACAGCTGCAAACATCCATTAATAATTGGAACATGGAACATACAAAGTATGAATCTAGGAAAATCAGAAGTTGTCAAACATGAAATGGAACACATAAAGATCAATATCCTAGGCATTAGTGAGCTGAAATGGACTGGTACTGACCACTCGGAATCAGACAATCATATGATCTACTATGCCAGAAATGACAAATAAAAAAGGAATGGTGTCACATTCATCATCAAAAAAAGAATGTTTCAAGATCCACCTGATGTAAAATGCTGCCAATGATAGGTGATTCAAACTCACCAGCCGCTCCGTGTGAGGAAGATGAGGCAATCTACTTCCATAAAGATTTACTGCCTCGGAAGCCCAATGAGGGTCACTATGAGTCAGAATCAACTCAATGACATTAAGTTTGGTTTTTTTTGGTTTTATAAGGAAGACCAGTTAATACTATGATTATTCAAGTTTACACATCAACCACTAAAGCAAAGATAAAGAACTGGAAGCTTTTTACCAACTTCTGCAGTCTGAAATTGACCAAACATGTAATCAAGATGGATTGATAATTACTGTTGCCTGGAACACGAAAGCTGGAAACAAAGAATCATCATCAGTAACTGGGCCTTGATGATAAAAATGACACATGAAACTAAAGGTCATTAAAAAGACAAGAAAGGAAGAAAAAACAAAATGGATGTGAAAATAAACTCTGAAACTTGCTCTTGAATGCAAAGTAGCTAATGTGAATGGAAGAAATGATCAAATAAAAGAGCTTAACAAAAGATTTCAAAGGGCAGCTAGAGAAGACAAAGTATTACAATGAACTGTGCATAAGACTTGGAATTATAAAACCGAAAGGGAAGAACATGTTCAGCATTTCTCAAGCTAAAAGAACTGAAGGAAATATTCAAGCCTCAAATTGCAATACTGAAGGATTCCGTGGACGAAATATTGAATGATGCAAGAAGCATCTAAAGATGGAAGAAATACACAAAGTCACTGTACCAAAAAGAACTGGTCAATGTTCAACTATTTCAGGAGGCAGCATATGATCAAGAACCAACGGTCATAAAGGAAGAAGTCCAAGCTGCACTGAAGGAATTGGGAAAAAAAACAAAGAGCAAAGAATTGACGGAATACTCACTAAGAGGTTTCAACAAACAGATGCAGTGCTGGAGGTGCTTTCTCGTTTATGCCAAGAAATTTTGAAGAGAACTACTTGGCCAACTGACTGGAAAAGATCGATATCTATGCCCATTCCAAAGAAGGTAATCCAAGAGAATGTGGACAGTATCAAACAATATCATTAATATCACACACAAGTAAAATTTTGCTGAAGATAATTCAAAAATGGTTGCAGTAGTATATTGACAGGGAATTTCCAGAAACACAAACTGGATTCAAAAGATGTGGAATGAGGGATATCACTGCTGATGTTAAATAGACCTTAACTGAAAGCAAAGAATACCAGAAAGATGTGCTATGGAGTCGGCCCCGACTCATAGCAACCCCTCCTTGGGTTTCCAAGGTAGTATCACTACAGAAGTAGATTGCCCAACCTTCCTTCCGAGGAGTGGCTTGTGGGTTTGAACCACTGGTCTTCTGGTTATCAGTCTACCTGTATTTTATTGACTACACAAAAGGTATTTGACTATGCAGATCCTAACAAATTATGGACAATATTGGGAGGAATAGGAATTCCAGAACACAATTAAGTGTTCATGAGGAACCTGTACATAGACCAAGAGGCTATCGTTCAAACAGAACAAGAGGATACAGCATGGTTTAAAATCAGGAAGGGTGTGTGTCAGAGTTTTATCTTTTCACTATGCTTATTCAATACGTATGCTGAGCAAATAACCCGAGAGCCTGGACTATGTGAAGAAGAATGCAGCATCAGGATTGGAGGAAGAATCATTAACTCAATCCTAAAATAAAAGTAGATGATACTTCCTTCTGGGAAAAAGATTAACCTCGATTGTAATGGCAGTTTTTTAATTCATTGATTTTACTATACCAAAGTACCAGCATCCAGTTTACTAGACAATGAATGGTAAACATAAGAAGCCTATACATGAAAATACTTTACATGAGAGGAGGCCAAAGCACAACTATAACAGTTCTCAGTACCTTTGCAAATTTGAAGAATGGTCTTGGATCCTTTCTGAAATATTCAATATCAAACATCGCTTGAGGATCTGGAAGGTCTGGGAAATCTACTGCAAGGCGTGCATAAATGCCATCTCTTGACCTGAAGTCAGGTATTCCACAGGAAACAGATACCTGAAATTTCATGGCATAGTCTGTAAAATGCAGTTTCCTATCTTTGTAATTACTAGCTCTCTTACCATACATTTAGGAAAGAGCTGAAAAAGAAAATTTTAGCTTGAAACTTCTTTTGGGAAATGAAGTACTATCCCACCCCAATTCCAAATAGAAATGAAACACCCAGTAAACCAGTATAAATAAATATGCCATATATGGCCATTTCCAATGACGTTCAATCAGGCCAATTTTAAATCTTTTAAGCACTTAACGAACAAATTAAAGCAAGCGGGATTCAATTAAAAGAGGAGAGTAAATAATTTTAACCAATTATTTTAAATAGAAAGCAGGCAGGAATTTCTATTACACTATCAACTTTTTCCAAAATCTCATCTGGTCAGGGTTCTACTACCTCAAGGATACAAAATTTCTGTATTTTCTCCAAAAATTGTGTTACATTGTATTTCAATTCTTTTGTTAAAGACTAGATACGATGCTATTTTTTTCTATAAAGAAACCTTAACATTTCCAATGGAATTTCAAAAGTTATTTCACTTCACAATTTTGCCAGAGTTGACTCTACTTTGACCTCAGAGTAAAACAAACTTGTCTAAATCACACCTGGGAGCAAAGCATCACTATTTTTGATCATCTAAGACTAAATAGCATGAAATAACTCAATCTACACTCAAAATGGCAGGAAAGAGGACTGCCTTTTACTCTTGCAATTGCTCTGGTCACTATCATAATATGTAATACTCTGTATGAATAAAATTTAGTTCCACACTTGTGAGTACCAGTTTGGTTCCTGGTTATCCGTGAAGATCCAGCAAATACGCAGTATCTTCACAAGAGCTCGTCACACCTTAAAACAAGCAAATTACATCCCCTATACCTCTAGTAGCTATTGTAATAATGTAGGTAAAAGTCTTGCCTTAATTCCACTTACCTACTGTTACTCCTTAAGTGAATTTTCTTTAAGATTATTGGAGTTTGTTTGTTTTTTTTTTAATAATAAAACTGAACCAATTTCACAATTGCAGCTGTATTCACTTTTTATCATTTTCCAAATACATATACCCATAACCATGTACAGATAAATTCTTCTAAATAAGAAAACTGTTCCTCAACTGGAAAAGGCTTAAGAGAACATACACAATAAGCACGTCCCTCTTACTATGTAGTGGCTTATTACATGTTTGAACTAACTTCACCAGTTTCCAAACATACACACCAATTATGATGTAAGAATCCATTCCCCTAAACCATAAAAGTGTTGTTTAACTGGAAAAATCATAGGAGAAATCATATACCACCATCCCCTGTGGTACAGTGAATTACCTGGCATGGCTTTTCTAGCCATAGTCTTTGTAACTCCCACCAGATTATTGGGTGGAACCATGCAAAGAAGGTGTATAGAACTCAACTGTGAGGACTGGTTAATTCTGCTATGCTCCTGGACTTAAAAGGGGCCCTTCTCGAGGCAGAGAGGGAATCTCACTGCCATCAAGAGAGAAAAGCTGGAAGTGAAGAGGAGCACGTCCTTGGACCCAAGATCCCTACACTGGACCTCCTTAGCAGAGACGGCGGCAGTAGAACCAGAACCAAGAGGCAGGAGACAGAACTGCGACCTTGCTGGCCCGCAGAGGAAGAAGGCTGAGTGCCCCTGAGCAGGAGGCTTGCTGGCAGAGTGGGGTGCACCTATCACAGAGCTTTGTAGCACTTGCCCGAGCAGGGAAGAGGCCAGGCCAAGAAGCCAAGGGCCAGAAAGGCATACCTAAGGGCACAGAGGAGAGATTGTCCTGATGGAACAACTGTGTCCTGAGCAAGTTGTAGCCTGTCACTTCCCTAACAAACTTCCATAATTTTGAGTACTATCTGAATTGTGTGTGACCATTGCAACGAATATGGAACCCAGCAGAGAAATGAGTGCTGTGGGAGGGAAGGCTAATACCAGAGGTAGTAAAAAGGCTGGAGGGTGGCAATATGTCTGGCCTCATAGGAATAAGCCTTGGGCTGTTGATGGTGATTCTGTCTCCCTCTTGTGAAGTTAGAGGACGCTATAAGATGCCACCCCGACTTCCTCAGAGGATGCCACCTCCATGCTTTTTCTAATCTCTTTATTAGTGTTCAGTACATCTCACGTACCCCAGCTCCAGTAAGAACTATTATTTTTTTGCATTCTTGTAGCAACTTCACAGCATCTTCAATTGTATTAATATCTTTTCTTTTTTTCCTTTTTGGTGGTTCTGAAAGGATATTAATAACAATCTGCCACAGTGTCATATCATCCAATTCAGGTGGAGGAATTGTTTCCGGTAGTAAATCTTTAAGAATTGTTCGAGGGTCTGTTCCAATCATGAGGTGTTGCTGAACAAAAGTATATGGACCTATATTGAGATAAAAAGATTCAGATCAAATCTACTGCCAAGTAATTCAAAATCTCATTTATTTTCTGAAGTAACAAGTTAGCAATCTGTAAGACTTTTTTTGTAAATTAAGAAAACTCAATTTAAATATATTTTATTTTTACATCTTCAGACCTATGCTAATCCCAATGACATAAGATGCAAGCAATTCTACTTCACAAGTGGTTAGAGTGAGGCCTAACCAAGAGCTTTGCTGGCCACTTTAGCCATACAATACCAAGTATGTATTTTACTACCAGAATTAAATTTTTCTGGAAACATGTACCATTTTTATAAACCGAAGTATTTACAAAAGAGTACCATAAATCAAAATAGAAAAGATCTCATTGTTAGTTGCCTTCAAGACCAGTAGTGAAAGCCCATGTGATTTATCATAAACGACATAAAGACAGTATGTTGTTGTTGTTGTTATGTGCCCTCGAGTCGGACCCGACTCATAGCGACCCCTCCTTGGGTTTCCGAGGCAGTATCACTACGGAAGTAGATTGCCCCATCTTCCTTCCCAGGAGTGGCTGGTGGGTTTGAACCACCAGCCTTCTGGTTAGCAGTCAAGTGCCTTAAGCACTATGCTACCAGAACTCCCAAAGACAAAATATATACATGTGTAATTACGTTCTTTTAAATCTCTTCCACTAATAACTTTCAAATTGATCTTAACAAATATCCCAAAATAATACATATGATCCTGTCATTAAGTGTAATTTTCTTTTCCCTGAAATTTCTTATATCAGTTTCCTGAAACTGATTAACAAATATTATAGATACTAAAGAGGAATTAATCATCACTGTGTTTAAATAGTCCAGCCACTTTTAGAAAAAAGCACGTTTAAGAAAAAGATCACTTTCAAAGGTTAATATTATGCCTCCTTTGCTACATAAAAAAATCTAACAGCATTCTCTACTTCAAAATACTTTCCCATATCCATAACATTTCACCCAAATCACAAAAAAAAGTTTCTTTAAAAAACTTTCCCATTTCATTCACCTGTTTAATAAATATTTATGAAGCACATACTGTGTGCCATGTACTTTCCTAGGCCTGGAAATAACAAAACAGTGGCATTACAAATCAGTCAAAATTCCTAGCCTCTGTGGAGCTTATATTCTAGCATAGGAAACAGACAACAACAACAAAAAAAAGACAAGCAAAACGACAGATACACCTATAAAGTGAACAGTAATACCCGTGAGGAATTTAATCCTCAGAACAAGCAATCATATGATACCAAAACAGCAGTATTTACCCAAAAACAAAGCTCAGAAGGCAGGAAGAGGCAGGAATGGACAAATGGAAACAGGGAACCAAAAGAAGAAATGGGACGAGTGTTGTTACATCAAGGGGATTGCCATTAATGCCACTAAACAAAAAATGTATTAATTGTTGAATGGAAATTTTTTTCTGTAAACTTCCACCCAAACTATGCACACAAAAAAAGGCAAGAAAGACACATAGTTTATTAAGAAATGTCAAGCAAAAAAAAATTTAAAAAGGGATATGGAATGAAGGAGGTTGGTTGAGCCAGGACTATAGATTTTAGATAGTGTGGTCACGGTATACCTCACTAAAAGATGCCTTCTGAGTAAAAGCTAGAAAGAAGTGAAGGAACAAGACACTATATAACTGAAGCACATTCCAGGAAGAAGGTATAAACATAAAAGGTCTGAGAAGAACTTGAGAAACAGCCGAGGCCAGCTTCCATGGGCCTGACTTGTTTAGAAATAAAAACAAAAGCACTACACTTCTCCTGAATCTCGCTGGATTCCACCTCACAGAGACCTCATGTTACAGAGTGGAACTGAACCCCATAGGGTTTTTTGGCTATACACTTTGAGGAAGTAGATCGCCAGACCTTTCTTCCTTGGAGCTGCTGGGTGGATTCACACCGTCAACCTTTCAGTTAGTAGCCGAGCACAAACTGTACCCTTGCACCATCCAAGGACCCAGTTCAAACTATCCCTAAGCTGATACTAAGTCTCCCCAAGCTCCCAAGAACCTCATCATCAGTTTATTACGGGACAGAGAATCAAATTTTTCGTTTCCATGAAAGGAAAATCTCAAAAAATTTTTAAAAAATAGAAAGTATTTAGTTTCTAAAACTGCACAGTTTTAAAATCATACCTATCCGTGGCCTTGGAGTCCAGTCACTGGAGCTTGCATGTGAGGCTCTATCATCCTCATCACTTTCACAGGAATGAAAGCCATTGGTGATAATTTCATCACTGAACAAAAGGTTATCTGCAAAAGCAGACAAAAGTTACTAAAGACTGGGGAACAACCTACACCTAATTAAAAGTGGTTGTGATGCATTTAATGGAGAACTTAAACATTCACAGTGTAAAGAATGCTCACTGGGTTAGCCTGCACCTTTTATAGAAGTTTCCTATCTTTAGGGATGCTGCCCAGAATCTAAGTTTCTCCTTCAAAATCTAGAAATAAATAGAACCTACTTAAGAAGAACAAACCAAAACAAAAAGCAATGGTCTAGTTATATTGAATTGTCAATCACAAATAATGGCATTCATGAAAAATTACCAAATAGAAATTTACAAAAGGAAAAGTTCAATTATATCCAATGCAATTTGTACTTTTAGCACTCATATTAGACACACTAAGACATCTGTGCATTATTTGTTTCCCCTACTAAATTGTGAATTTTTTTTGACATCAAAAGCTATTCTTTTACTAATCTCACCCCTAATGCACACCTTAATCTGCATTTGAGCAAATGGTCCACTGGACTTATTAATAAAAATATTGATATAGTTATTCAAGACAAACTCCCCAGAACAAAAATATGACATCCTCATGGATGACATGATATATGCATGTAATACATCTGCTTCATAGTGCCAGAAATGCCGATTTATATTACAGAATTATTTACAGATTATAATCTAAAAATCATTACATGAACATCATTACAGAGAACAATATTCATAAAATATACTCTAAAAGTACTATTACTATATGACCACTGTCAATTGCACCACAGAATGACAATATCTTTACAAACAGCTTCGCTCTCTAAAATTTAAAACTTCCAAATTTAAAAATACAGACCCTAAAGAAAAAAAAAGTAGACTGAACAGGTGTCAGGTTGCAAAGGCAACCGCAAAGGTCGATGGATGGGACAGGCAAAAGTTGCAAACTTAACCGCACTGAGGACGGTGGGCAAACAGTAAAAATGTTTAACAAAAGCAGTATGATAAATGAGTAAAGGGAGGAAAAAACTTATTTTAAAGCTACCCACAAAAGCTTCCCGTCCCAGCGGCTGCGCAAACCGCTGGGCCGCCAGGAGGGCTGCAGACGGAGGAAAGGAGGGAGCAGGCGAGCCTGCGGGTCGCTCCCGCAGCCAGATCGGCTGCCCTGGAAGCGCGTAGCTCAGCGGAAGAGCACTGAGGGGAGGGAGACGCAGCTGCAGTCACCACCCCCCTTCACGACCCGACCCCTGAGATCCCGCGACCCCACGCCAGTAAGGGCCCCAGAGAAAAGAGGAGGGGATGCGCAGTCCCGGCCGCCCGCGCCCTGCGCACCTCGGTACCCAATCGCCGCTGCCGCTGCCTCTTCCTCCTCCTCGCCGTCGTCGTCGTCGTCGTCGAAGTCGTCGACCGGTGGCGGCTGCCGGGATAGGCCCTGCAGGCCCAGCCCATTGTCTTCTCCGATTGCCGCGGCCGCCGCCTGGGCCTCTCGCTCCTCGCCCGACAGCGGCACTGCTGGGGAACCCCCAGCCGCCGCCGGCACCTCACACTCGGGGGCCGCCCCGCTGGGCTCGCCTGGGCTCCGCCCGAGGCTGAGGCCGTCTCTTCGCGGCCTCTTGCGGAGCGGCTCTCCGGCGGGCGGCGACGCGGCCTCCCTCTCAGCCGCCGCCGCCGCCGAGGGAGAGCTGCCGGGCTGAAGGGCGAGCGCCGCCTCGTCCGCCATCTTCCAACTGCCTCTCTGGCCCTCCTCCCTCACCTCCTCTGCTCCCGCTCTACGCGCGGCACTGGCGCCCCCGCGGCTTTGGCTGCGGGAGATTTAAACCCTGTCACGTGACCCGCCCCTTCGCTGCCCCCGCCCTCCCGCAGCTCCCGCCACCCACGCGGGCCGGACCGCAACACAGCGGGTCACGTGGCGGCTGAGGCCGGGGCGTGCCGCCGCGTTCCCGGCTCGGCGTGGGCCGAGAGCAAAGGCAGCCCTAGTAGCCGGCTTCCCCGCCCCTCGGCGGCAGGCGCGTTGTGCAGCTTTACTCGCCCTTTTGCTGTATTCTCAACTTCTCTTTCAAAGCGACCTCTCAAAGCAGTAAGGTTCAAATGGCTCGAGTTTGGTTCACTCTACGCGTTTCCACTAACGCCTGAAGAGCACACCTTGGCTGCCTTAAGTCTTGTCTAGATTTAGCGAACGGTTAAAACTTAATTCCTGAGAAGCGATAGAGAATGTAGCTGTCCAAAGTTTTACTCCCTGCAAAAATGTGGATAGTCGTTCCTGTTTTGGTTTTGGTAAGAGTAGCGGTAAAAGGACACAGAAGCTGCCTCCCATACTCCTTACACCTTTCTGGCAACACCTCTTTTGCTTCATTTTCTCCTCCTCCCCTTAGTCTATTTTTCCCTCTCTCCATCACTTGTGGAAGGATGTAGGTCAAGTCCTTAAAGGCAAGTGTCCTCCTGGAAAGACATTTGCCCTGTGAGATTTAAACGTGAATAAAAAAATACTTAAGACTTAAGGTTTTTACCTTTCACTAGTGGTCTCAAACCCTCCAGCCGCTCCTCAGAAGGAAAATTGGACCATCTACTTCAGTAGTGATACCATTTCCAAAACCCAAGGTGGGGTCGCTATGAGTAGGATTCTACTAGACAGAAGTGGGTAGTGGTCTCAGGAGGAATGTTTAACCAAGTTTTCAAACTCAGTGAAGGCCTATCATAGCTAGAGTACTCAGTGGTAGCGGTCAGAGTGTCAGCAACCTCTTGGTTTGGGGGGCTAGAGAGAGATTCTTTGCCTCTGGCTTCTCGCAGAATTAATTCTAAGCCCATCACTTAAATAATTTTTTTTAACCTTTGCCTTATGCAATAAGGGTCCCTGATGTCTTGGTTTATCTGTTCCATCTTTCTTCAAGGTCAGAGAGTTGCCTAATGTTGCATCTTTTGGAGATTAAGGGGCTGTTTCCAATATATTTACATCCCAAGGCCAACTTGTAGAGATTTAACTATTCAACTATATGAGATGCTACATCATTTGAGCTACTTCAGATTTTTCTTTCTAACTTAAAAATCCCCTATGCAGTTACAAGTTTCAGTATCTTTATCACAGCAGGTGAGTGTATTGTCAACTTCTAAAGCTTGTTTAGCATTCTTCTAGATAACAATTTCTAAAGTTAGAATTTTTCTAAGTCACTTTCTAATGACGTAGTTTCTAACAGCTAGCAAGCTTCTAATGACATGAGGTTCTGTTTAGAGAGGACTTGACTACAGAGCCAGAAAAATTTCTGAGGAAGAAGTGGCACTGGAATAACCTGATACAGAATTCAACGGAATTATATGTAGGTACCTTCAATGGGATGAGAGACAGATCAAGGTAAACACTGACAAAAAACAATGAAAACACCAACAAAATTAAGTAAAACATAAAGTTCTAGAATAATTTAGGAAAACAATATAAAAAGAAATTGACAAAATAAATGAAAAATTAAAAGCCAAACAAAAACAGCAAATAGAAATCCAGAAGACTAATACTAAGATTTCAGAAATAGATGATACATTGAACGGGCAAAGGAATAGAATCAAATCAATGGAAGATACAATTAGTAAGACTGAAGACAAATCTCTCAATACTACTTTAAGAGAACAATCAGAAAAAAGATTTAAAAAAAACTGAAGAAGTCTAAGATTTGTATGTGACACCATCAAGAAGAGTAACTTATGTGTGATTGCAATTCCAGAACAGGAAGAGAAAACCACAGAGAAAATTGCTGTAGATTTGTTGGAACAGAACTTCTCTACTATGATGAAAGATAAGAAGATATCTGTCTTGGTTCTCTATTGCTACTATAACAAATACACTACAAGTGGATGGTTTTAACAAACAGGAATTTATTCTCTTACAGTTTAGGAGGCTAAAAGTCTGAATTCACAGTGCCAGCTCTAGGGACTGGGTGAAGGCCACTCAACATTGGGCTTCAGCTCTTTCTCCTCTTCCTGATCTACTGGAGCTGGAGGCTTTGTCTGACTCACACAGCTGCTGGCTGCTGAAACTGACCAACCCAAGGTTGCAGGTAAAATGGCACAATCCCAGATCAGCTGGCAACACAGAAAGCCACCTGTTCAAGTCCAGGAACAATCCCAAAATCAGCAGACAGTATGGCAAACTAATGGTTCTGAAGACTCAGCCAAACACAGGATCCAAATGTGCCAAAAATCTCAAGACCTTGCCAAAGTTTCTCCATATATACTAGAAGCAGACCACAACCCAATGTTAACTCATTAGCTGTTCACAGCAGATTCCACCATGGAATTGATTACACCACATTCAATCTCATCATGGGGAATAACTACAACCAGCTGCCAACAAACAATGCAACGCACTGCCGTCAATTTGGAGCCGACTTATAGTGACCCCACTCATAGGGAGTGGCTGGTGGTTTTGAACCACCAACCTTCTGGTTAGCAGTCAAATGCCTTAGGCACAGCTGCCACGCCACTCAAAACCATGGCCTAACCAAGTTGACAGACAACCTTAACCACCACAGCTAGTGACAAAAAAAGTTCTGGCTCAGACAACTTCACTAGAGAATTCTACAAAACATTCAGAGAAGAGCTAACACCAATCCTACTCAAAATACTCCGGAACACAGAAAAAGATGGAATCCTCTCAAATTCATTTTATGAAGCAAGCATAGCTCTAATACCAAAACCAGGCAAATACACCACAAGAAAGGAAAGCTACAGACCAATATCTCTCCTGAATATAGATGCAAAAATCTTCAACAAAATCCTAGCTAATAGACTCTAACAACATATAAAAAAATAATGCATCCTGGCAAAGTGGAATTCATATGGTGTGCAAGGATGGTTCAACATCATTGTAATCCATAACATAGGTAAAATAAAGGAAAAGAGCCATGTGATCATATCAATCAATCCAGTAAAAGCATTTGATAAAATCCAACACCCATTCCTGATAAAAAAAGTCTCAGAAAAATAGGAATAGAAAGGCAATTCTTCAACATAATAAAGGGCATATATGCAAAACCAAGAGACAACATTATTCTCAACAGATAGAGAGGGAAAGCATTAGCCTTGTGAACTGGAACCAGACAAGGATGACCTCTATCACCACTTCTATTCAACTTCATATTGGAATTCCTAGTGAGGGCAATAGACAAGAAAGGGAAATAAAAGCCATCCAAATTGGTAAGGAAGAAGTAAAACTATCCCTGTTTACAGATAATATAATCCTATACATAAAGAAAGAAGTGCAAAAAAGGTACAGACAACAAAGCTAAATTCTTTTACATACACACTACTGCATTATCAGTAATAACAAACATTAATCTATGGGTGAATGCATAGGTAGACAGACAAAATGATCAGGTATGGGTAGGTGAAAGGGGATATATTCATGACCATATATAGGTTTGGCAGATGATATTTCTACATATGCATTTGTATGTGCTATAAAAATGACCAGATATATAATAGAGCTATCAGGAGATACCATCTTGGCCATAGCCAAACACCTTGAAGGAGTGAGTCACTGGGCCTGCAGTGTAGGGACCATGGTCACAGGAGACATCAAGGTCAAATGGCATAACATAGTACACAAAAACATTGTTCTACATGCTACTTTGGTGAGTAGCGACTGGGGTCTTAAAAGCTTGTGAGCAACCATCTAAGATGCTACTGGTCTCTCCTTGTCCAGAGCAAAGAAGAGTGAAGAAAATCAAAGACATATGGAAACAATTAGCCCAAATTGAGTCCAAATCTCAGTATGTTCAACCAAAAACAAGGCCAGGAGCTGACTGTGGAACAAACCAACTGCTCATATGCAAGTTCAAATTGAAGCTGACAACAATTAAAACTAGTCCACAAGAACCAAAATATGACCTTGATTTTGTCCCTCCTGAATTTAGAGACCATCTAAAGAATAGATTTCATGCATTGAACACCAGTGACCAAAAACCAGAGGAATTATGGGATGACATCAAGAACATCATACATAAAGAAAGCAAAATGTCATTAAAAAGACAAGAAAGGAAATAAAAATCAAAATGGATGTCAGAAGAGACTGTGACATGCCCTTGAATGGAGAGTAGCTAAAGCAAATGGAAGAAATGACAAAATAAAAGAGCTGAACAGAAGATTTCAAAGGGTGAGTCAAAAGACAAAGTCAATTATTATAATGAAATGTGCAAAGATCTGGAGTTAGAAAACCAAAAGGGAAGAATATGCTCAGCATTTCTCGAGCTGAAA